TTAACCGCAGTACACCACAAACGTTTCTTTTTTTTAAGCAATGGAATTATTTTTCAATGACATTCAAAAAAATATGTCTGACGTTAATTTTGCCATAGAAATTATTTTTGAAACACTTTTCATAACTCACAAAAAAATAACATTCGGAAGGTTTGGAGAAATTTTAACCAAAATTAAGAGTACCTCCCATGCAAAATATTCGTTTTTGAGCCAAAAATTGAAAATTTTGTATGGGAGGTACCCCTAATTTTGATTGAAATCTCTTCAAACTTTCAGAATGTTATTTTTTTGTGTAAAAAATAGACTGTGCAAAGTTTCACGTCATTAAGGTAGCATACAGGCATGGCTCCCATACGAAAATTCATTTTTTTTGTGATTTTTTCAAGGAAACTGTATTAAAAATTGATTGTATCTCAAAAATAACCTCAGATTCGGTTTTCTCGTGCCAAAAAACCCCCCAATACATATTTTTGAATGTTTAAGTCCACATTAAGTATGACTTTTGGACGAAAATTGGACTCTTTTTCATAGGTATCACTCCAGGCATGACATTTTTTCCCATCAACCAAAGTCGCTCAAAAGCTAATGATTTCTATTCCTCGGGACCCCCAATCATCCTGTAAAGTCAGATTTTGATTTAAGTTTCTACGATGAGCGCAATCTTGCTAACAAATTTTGCGTACGACGTACAACGTACGACGTACAACGTACGACGTACAGATTAACATAAACCATGCTCAAAACGGCCTGATTCGGGTTCGCTGACCTCAGAAACGTCCAGAAAACATGTTTCTGAAGTTTTCAAAATTTTGACCGATTACAATACCTTACACTATGTGTGCGGAAAAGTAAAAAGGCTCTCATGTAAAATATTCTGATGATTCAAATTAATTATTTTCTTGAAACTTTTCAATTTTTAACTTTCAAACCTTTTTCAATGTTTTTATTTTTAAAAAAATGCAAAAATTTGAAAAAATGTGTGATTTTGTTTTGGTTTTTGTTTGGTTTCCCTGTATTTTGAATGAACGGTCTAATGGACCGTAACTATACTATATTGTTTTTATTTCGAACTATACCTAGGAAGGTTAAAGTAAGCTATCGAATGGTGCCAATTGCGACTTAAAAATGTCATGTATGGGTGGCCAAATTGGCCAAAAACAAAAAACTGTCCGTCTGGCCGGACACATAACGGACATTTTTTTCGAAAAGTACTGCATTTGCCTCAAGTCAAAGATAAAAAATGTGCATACAGACCACTCAAAAATACTTCTGTTCCTCATTATGAACCATAATTTGTATAATAAAAATAACCTAAAAATCCATATTTTCATTGTATTTGAAAAATATTCAAATTCATGTGTCTTGAATCTTTAACTTGGAAAATAGCGCTTACAAAACTATTGATATCAAATAAAATAAAGAGTCTTACGGGAGTAAGACGAACTTTTCCGCATGGTGGTAGTTCATGGGGTGAATCACGTTAGTGAATACTAGAAAAACTAGTAAATCTAGTGTGAATGACGTCACAAACGAAGCCAACTTCACACCAAAGGCCATATAATTTATATGAAAAACTACTGAGAGCCAACTTCACGCACTAGAATTTTCTAGTTTTCTAGTGAAATCTTATCAAAAACTAGATGAACTAGAATTTTGTGATTATCATGCGGTAGTTGCGTATTTTATTAAGCAAGTTCAAAATAAAATTTGTTAGATTTTTCAAGCCTTTCAAGCGTAAAGTAAAGTTCGAGTAAAGTTCGAGACCAAAAAATATGTATGGGAGCCATGTCTGTATGCTACCTCAATGCCGTGAAACTTTGTACAGGTTATTTTTTTCACAAAAAAAAAAAATTTCAAACAAAATTAAGAGTACCTCCCATACAAAATAATCGTTTAACTTCCAGAATGTTATTTTTTTGTGTAAAAACTAGTCTGTGCAAAGTTTCACGTCATTAAGGTAGCATAAAGGCATGGCTCCCATACAAAAATTCAATTTTTTTGTGATTTTTTCAAGAAAACTGTATCAAAAATTGATTTTATTTCACTCAAAACTAACCTCGGATTCGGCTTTCTCGTGCCAAAAAATCCCCCAATACATATTTTTGAGTGTTTAAGTCTACATTAAGTATGACTTTTGGACGAAAATTGGACTCTTTTTCATAGGTATCCAGGCATGAAATTTTTTTCCATCAACCAAAGTCGCTCAAAATCTAATGATTTCTATTCCTCGCGACCCCCAATCATCCTGTTAAGTCAGATTTTGAATTAAGATTCTAATATGAGCGCAATCTTGCTAACAAATTTTGCGTACGACGTACGACGTACAGATTAACATAAACCATGCTCAAAACGGCCTGATTCGGGTTCTCTGACCTCAGAAACACCCAGAAAACATGTTTCTGAAGTTTTTAAAATTTTGACCGATTACAATACTTTTCACCTTACACCATATGTGCGGAAAAGTAAAGACCTCTATCGAGGTGAAGAGCGAGTGACGGAACCAAAATTTGAAACACAAAATTTCTGATATCAATTTTGTGACGAAAATAGTTGATAGATGTTTTTTCTGTGTACTGTGAATATGAACTTAATATACGTTTGTAAATTCGTAACGTTGCTTCATTGCGTCATAATGAACTCAAAGTAAAAAAAACGAAATTTCTGCAACGTTTTGAATATACAAATGTATATTAAGTTTATATTCACAGTACACAGAAAAAATATCTATCAACTATTTTCGTCACAAAATTGATCAGAAATTTTGTGTTTCAAATTTTGGTTTCGTCACTCGCTCTTCACCTCGATAGAAGTTTTTTATTTGATATGTAAATTACATAGGTATTTCCAGGCATGATACAGTGCGTTTTTTTATCTATAATGTGGAACATTTTGAATGAAACACACGATATTGAGATAAATTTTTTCATTGATGTTTTACTTAATCTCTAAGCCACTTCGCGCATAACCAATATTTTTTCCAGTCACCGTCTTTCTCGATCACACGGGCACATCTTTTGTGCATACTTTTGCTCAAATGTTCAGCATATTCGCGTTGTAAACCTTTCCACTGTGTTTTACCCCGAAGCCTTGCCTTAATAATAGCCAAAACATTTTATGTCGGATTGCAATCGGGTGACTGTGGTGATCATTTGTTCTATTCTATTTTCTCCTTTCCAAGCGGTGCAGAGACGACTTTTGTGTTTTGGATCATTATCTTCTAGTAGAAACCAATTCGAATTGCCGTTGCCATATGATATATATATAATAGATGAATAAAGTTGGTTAATCCCCACGTCGTTTGGAATGCCCGTGAATCCGGTCACTTTCCAAAACCAGCTTCACAGAAGCAACCATGAACATGGACCTTTTGCGGATGCTTTATCGTGCGAACGATCACTCTCTTTTCGGCTTTTCGGCTCTATTTTCACCAGCCAAAAGAATTACTCGTCAGTGTATATAACTTCGCTCCAATCTCTTGTTGAATTTTGCTTTGCCCAGTCAATGCGTTTTTTCTTCTGTTTTTCTGTCAAAAGGGGTATATTCATTGTACTGCGATAACGAACACCGGCGACATCTAATCCTTTCTTGATAGTAGAGCGCGAGACCTATATTTTAAGACGGCTTTAAACACTTTGGCTCAACGACATACATGTCTTTTCGTCGAACAAATTAACTATCCGCTTATCTTGCTTTGGGCTTTATCTTAACATTGGGCTGATCGTTCACATTTTTTTCCCGCTTATACTTCTTGATCCAGTGCTGGACGAACCCTGGTGACTTATGAAGGTATTTTGCGACCTTCGCCTGCGGCCATTGTGGCCCTTTTGGTTGTTAATGCAAAAATACTGCTTCAAATCGTGAATGAAAATGTTCGGAATTCATGTTTCGGTTGCTCAAAAAACACTGTACTGATCTGACAGTTGTCGAAACTTAAACGCGTAATAGCTTAGGGTCTCATCAGGCAACACCAAAAGTACTTTTTGAATATTCAAAAATTTCGGTGCTACTTTGTCACATTATAGATAAAAAAACGCACTGTATATAGTTATGCAAAATATACATATTTCATATGTATGTTGGTACTGTGTTACTTGGGAGACTGCCGTCCCCCTGATAAGTGTGTACAGAATAACTCGTCAATAACGGAATCCAGCGGGACCAAACAATCCACTTTTCGCAGTGTTTCCGCTATATAGTGGTTCACCATTCGCAGGTTTTCGGCCAGGCAACAAAAACCTATCCGCTATTGGGTTATTTGAATTTTCAAAATTCAATTTTTTACTCTAAAAACTCTAGCAAATAAAAAAGAACTTACATCCGTAAGTCTAACTTTTCCGCACTGTTTGGTAGTGCAGTAGTAATTCAATAATTACCGAATTCTAATGTCTAAGACCAGTCAAGTTTTTTGGCCAATTTATAAATTATTGACGTTTAAATAATTCAAAATATGTGTGTTGGACGAGGATAAAAAATCAGCAAAAATGTGAATGAAATGGAGCGAAAAAAAAACATTAATTGTATCTCAATCTCATTGCAAAGGCGTAGTTTGAAAAAAGATATTTCATCAAAATTGATGGGGCGAAAAGCCTAGCGAAAAGCACATCAAGAGTGAATAAGCTACTGGCCAAGGATCCTTTACAGGGACCTGGCACTCTTATTTAACAGGATGGGAATTACACTGTGGCGGAAGGAGCCAAGCTTCTCCTAGACACACACTTCCCGGAAAATATTTCAAATAGAAATTGGGTTTAGGAGGGATTAATTATCCGAACTCCAGAACCGTTGAACACGATTCAGGACATACTTTTTGTAAGTAATCTCATATCTCCGAGACGAACAGAATGGGCCATCTTCTCATTTGATCCATTCAAATCGCCAGGATTGGATAAGATATATCCAGTTCTTATACAACAACCATGGGGTACTATAGGGGACATCATTGTATCCATATACAGAGCTTCAGTTCTTCTGGAGTATGTTCCAATACCATGGCAGAAGGCGAAAGTGACTTTCATACCTAAAATAGGTAAAGATGACCATACGTCACCAAAATCATTCAGGCCGATAAGTCTATCATCATTCCTCATCAGGCCGATAAGTCTATCATTGAAGGAACTGGAAAGACTTTCAATGGCATCACCCCTTTTTCTCTAACACGTCAGGATTTTCCACAATTTTCCTAGAGAGTTTTCCGGAAAACCAAAATTGGCTTTTTATACTCTAGTAACATTTTGAATTCATGCAATATTCCAGAGGGATGACCTATCAGCCGTTGTACTACGGTTCAAGTATAGTAAAGTCACACGAAACAACTTATGAAATTATCGAAAGGTGAAATCGGAGTTGTTATTGGCCTTTTGACAGGGTTAACTATCATTTGTGAAATCTACGAGGGCATGTGAAACAAAATCTAAAGTCCTTGCCTAAATCTTATTTTTTAATAACTACTTATTGGTGTGCATTAGACACACAAACGGGTGTCTTGCAATAGGTTAAAAAGCCTGAGCAACGAGAAACTTTGGATATTACTGAAAAGTAGACCCATCATCCCCGTTCAAATCCAATAATCCAAATCTCAATCTAGTCGCAAATGCGTTGTTGTCATACATGCTCTTGTTAAATGAATAATGAATTCTCGGTTGCCGCCTAGAAATTTTGCTCTACTCGGGGTAAGCGCTGTTCGCTATTTAGAGGTAATTTTGTATGTTAGAGATTTCCTCTATTCGCAGGTTCCGTTATTTACAGGTTATTCTGTATAGAACGTCTCATCCAATTTAAGATCAATGGCTTGTCCGAAATGATTTTGGCGAAATGACTATGAGAAAACCGAAATTATTAACACCATTTTAAATAGCAGCCTTCGGAAAATGCCCATGTAAAAAAATGACGTTATATTTATCATTGGAAAGATAATTAAGAGTAGGATCCGGTGGGTAAAAAGTATAAATATTCGAAAAAATGTACCTTTGAATTGGTAAAACTCGGCGGAAAATGGAATTTTATACCTCTACACTGTCAAAGATCACCTTAATATTATTGGAAGTATAAATTAAAACGTAAGGATTTTTCACGGAAATTGGGCATTTATTTGAATTTTCAATTACCATTTACATTCAAATTGGGAAATGAATTGAAATTCATTTCAATTGCGAGAAGTTGCAGAGATTGATGCCTTATACGGCATTTGTACATAGCTAACGTCAAAAGTGAGGTTAATATTTAAATGCTCACATTCAACAACAACGGTTGCTGTGTCAATAAGTTTAAAAGAAACTCGCGGCAATGAAAACAATTTCAATTTTAATTTTTTTAATTTGTTTATCAATATTCCAATTTTAAATATATATATATACATTTTAATTTACATTCAAAATGCTATTATAAATGCCAAAAAAATTCAAAACAATCGAAAATAGTAATATGGGAGCCAACTAGAATCTCTGCAACTTCACGCAATTGAAATGAATTTAAATGAATTTCAATTCATTTCCCAATTTGAATGTAAATGGTAATTGAAAATTCAATTCAATGAATCGAAAAAAAATAAATTGAAAATTTCAATTTACATTAACTAATGGTAATTGATTTTCAAATAAATGAATTGTAAAAAGTAATCATTATTTCAAACACTGATTCCGTGCCAAAAGAATGGTTGTTGTTTTGAACGCAACCACGAACCGACCCAATTTGCGATTTCCCCCGAAGATATGAAGCGTTTGCCTGTCAATTCGTTTTGCATCGTTTGAAACAAGTAGTAATCAGAAGGAGCAATGTCTGGTGAATACGGCGGGTGGGTTAGAACTTCCCATCCTATTGTCGACAAGTATTGTTTGACGACATTTGCAATATGTGGCCGAGCATTGTCATGTTGAAGAATTAACCGGTTGTGTTTTCCCCTCCATTCTTTCCGATCTTTGTCTAATGCTCACTTCAATCGCATCAGTTGTAGTCGATAGCGATCTCCTGTGACTGTTTCACCCGGTTCCAGCAGCTCATAATACACGATACCCTTTTGATCCCACCAAACACAGAGCGTTACCTTCCGGCAATGAATATCTTGCTTTGATTGCGATGGTCCTGGTTCGCCGCGTCGAACGTATGATTTTTTTCGCTTTGGGTTATCGTAGTGGATCCACTTTTCATCGCCCGTAACAATTCGATCCAAAAATGACTTGCTTTTTTGTCTTGCGAGCAGCATTTCACAAAAGGTAAAACGCCTTTCAACATCTCTCGGTTTCAATTCGTGCGGTAACTAGTTTTCAAATTTTTGGATGAACCCTAATGCTTTTAAACATTGTGAAATGGTTGCTTGAGTTACTCCCAATGATTTAGCGAGTTCTTCTTGCCTTTGGCATGGATCTTCATCGAGTAACAATTCCAATTCTTCATCTTCAAATTTTCTCAGCTGGCCTGGACGCTCTTTGTCTCCCGTGTCAAAATCACCACTTCTGAATCTTCTAAACCATTTTTCACATACACTTATTGAAATTGAATATTTGGGATACGTTTCCGACAACAAACGATGACATTCAGAAGCACTTTTCTTTTGATTAAAGTACAAAAGCATTGCTTCCCGCAAATGCTGTTTTGTTGGAACGTAATTCGACATTTTAATCGTAATAAAACTTGTGTGTGCAGAATTGTTTTCACATGACAGATAGAATTTAGTAGATTTTTTGACACTCTTTAAGATACAACAGCTTTCACTGCCCAAACAATTGCATGTGTGATAGATATGAAGTTAGATACGAATCCTTACGTTTTAATTTATACTTCCAATATTTTAAAATCATACAAACATCTTTATAGGACATGGGGTCAATCACGAAATTCTAGTGCATCTAGTTTTTGATAAGATTTCACTAGAAAACTAGAAAATTCTAGTGCGTGAAGTTGGCTCTCAGTAGTTTTTCATATAAATTATATGGCCTTTGGTGTGAAGTTGGCTTCGTTTGTGACGTCATTCTTCGCACTAGATTTACTAGTTTTTCTAGTATTCACTAGCGTGATTCGCCCTATGTTATAGGATATATATCATCGGATTCAAATCTATTTTAAGTTAACTACAAAACTTATTCTCTCTCACAATATTTAGGACACACTTTCTGACTGTGATTCACACCTTATATTTGATATATCTACGATTATTATATTTACCAATTGATTTTATTTTCAAGAAAATGGACATTATCCCATTTGGAACGAGACTTGTGAGTTTATTGTAAAAAACCCATACTTTGCTTTTCTTCGATTCGAAGTTCAAGATGAAGATATATTCGGCGAGCCAAACTTCATTGGACAAGCTGTTTATCCGGTACATGGTTTTGTATATAGCTTCGTTTTTTTTAAAACTTATTTCAGTTTTTTATTTCAGTTAAATTGCATTCGAACTGGTTTACGCAGTATACCTCTAAAAAACAAATTTAGTGAAGAGTTTGATCTTGCTTCTTTACTTGTTCAATTCCAGATAAATAACGTCGATAAAGAAAAAAACTGAAAACTTATTATAATACATTTTGAAATTCATAAAAAATACATGAAATAATGTTATACTTTATTTAATAAAAAACTGCACTGCACAGCGTGTCTGGTGGTTCATATAAACACTATTCAATTCTTTGTTCGACGGCTTTAATTTTTATATTTCAGTCAACTTATTATCGCCATTTTTTGATGTTTTGCAATAAATATCGTTGAAAGTAGTAAGCAAGTAATTAATCATCATTTAAAGCAAGCGGGGTCAACGTATATGAGATTGGAAACTTTTTTATGCGAACGCAGCTAACCTAACATTATTTCGAATTAGATCGAAAAACTTAATATAATTCTGGAGCATTGAAACGAAAAAGTAAAAAAAACCACAACAATAGCACGGCCACAGCCACACAGAGCTGTACTGTGAGTGCTGATATGTATGTACATACACATATACACTTTCTTCATTCTTCCATTTCATTGTTATACGTATCTCACTGGTCAACAGATCTACGTTATCGTTCAACAAATATTTGTGTCATGTTGTTTTTGTTGTTTTTTTCCTCTTTTCGATTCAATTTATTGTAACTAAATTGAGTTCAACTATGGAATAAGGGATGGCACAGATGAGAAGGATTCGCATTTTGTCTCTTTATAGTGCTCACCGCTTGATTTAAAATGAGCCACTTGGTATAGTAGGAAGGAGTAATGTGTTACACGTACTTACTAAGACTTATAAAAAGTTCAAAAATAAGAGCTATAAATATCCACAAAAATTGACTTTTATTGTTCCTTTTTACTTTTCCGCACACACCTAGTTTGTAAAGGAAAAGTATTGGGCACATCTTTAGTTTAGGGAGCACATTAATTGGAGCGATGTTTTGTTTCTTTTTTGTATGTTATGAGTAGTTGAGAGTCTGGTCATGTGTTATCTGTGGTGCGATTTTAGATTTTTTATTTTATAAAAAAAATTTGTTCAGGAACAGCGTTCCTTCGCCTTGGTGGTTTATTCAAAATAATTTAAATAAATACAATATAATTTGAAAGAGATAAATAATAAATAATTATTATTATATAATAATATAAAAAGATTTCATTTATGTTTACAATTCATCTAGTTTCTTTCAAATATTTCTCAATTCTCAGCTTTACCGTCGATAAATTTACTTCTAAATCAATCAAATTAGTATCACAATTTGGTATTTTCTTTGTATACTAATCATTGAATGTAATAAGCATAAAATTAATTGGTTCGTATTTTATGTAATTGTTTCCTCTAACTGGAATATGAAAAAGCGGTATTGCACGGGTATTATGTGCTGAATTGTAATAATTTAAACTGTGTGATATATGAGTTGACTTTATATCTCCGCTAATAATTTTGAAGATGAAAGACACTTGCGCCATCTTGCGTCTTTCCTCCAGCGTAATCATTTGTAGAAACAGCAGTCTTTGCTCATATTTTGGAAGTCTATAGCCATCCCAGTTCATTCTCCTTAGCGCATAAAGTAAAAATTGTTTTTGTATTGACTCTATTCTTTTGTACATATTGTCGTAGTGTGGATTCCATATTTCCGATCCATATTCGATGATTGGTAATACAAATGTAAAATAAAGGCGTTTAATTGTCCATAAATCGACGAAATCCTTGCTGTAGAACTTTAACCAAGCCAGTCTTGATTTGGCTTTAGCCGTGACATGCTCAATGTGTGATTTGAAATTCATTTGCACATCAAGCAACACTCCCAAGTCCCTTATTATAAAGACTCTTTCTATGTGAACGCCGCCTATGTTGTATTTGTATTCATATTGCAGTGATCCCCGATGATATGATATGATCTTTGTTTTGTTGACATTTACTTTTAATAAATTGCGTCTATAATAATCCGCTACACGATCCAAGTCATTTTGAAGATTAATGCAGTCATCTGTTGAGGTGATACATTTTGAAATTTTTGTATCATCAGCGAATGAAAGTATGGTAGAATTGGTCACGAAGAAAGGTAGATCAATTACAAACATGATGAACAATGGGATATCCTTGACTCGTCCCAGAAGTAACTTTGATTGGGTCGGATTTGATATCTGCAATCTTTACAATTTGTCTGCGACCAGACAAGTAAGATTTGATCCATTTTAACAGCTGTTCATTCAATCCCATGATTTCAAGTTTTTGAATAAGTAAATTTAAGTTATCCGAGTCAAAGGCCTTGGCTATGTCTAAATAGATGGCGTCTGTTTGATGTCTTCTTCCCATGTTAATAATCGTTTTTGAAGTAAATTCTACTAAATTTGTTATCGTTGACCTGTTTTTGATGAATCCTTGCTGACTTTCGTGTACTATGTTCATTGTGTATCATTTCAAATATAGATTGAGATGGTCTGTGACGATCGAATCAAGAATTTTTGACGTAATGCACTGTAAAGCAACACCGCGATAATTTTAAACGTTGTTTCTATCGCCGTTCTTGTAAATTGGTCTGACAAATGATGTTCTCCATAACTGCGGTACAGTGGCAGTTTCAAGTGATTCCTTTAATAGTGTTGATATTGGCTCTTGTAATGAAATCGAACAATGCTTGATGAATTTGTTTGGAATTTCATCAGGACCATAGACAAGATCATCTGGCAGCATGCTTATATGTTGACCTACAAGCTCCTCGGTTATTTCGATCATTGATATTTCAGCACAAATATCACGTATTTTTTCTATTTCCGAGCTGTCATATCGCAGATCACCTTCTAAAGGACTTTAAGCGGTGCCAAAGTGATTTGCAAAAAAACTAGCAATTGTTAATTGATCGCTTGCTTTTTCATTCAAATAAGTCATCTCATGTGGTGGATCTTCACTTTTCCCTTTTTTGAAATTCACGTGCTTGAAAAATTTCTTTGGATAATCATCTATCTGTTTCTCCATCTCTATTCTGTAATCTCTGAGTGTGTAGAGCCTTTTTTTATTTTGATGTGCTTTGCTGACTTTGTTCTTCAATTCAACCAATGATTTGTTAAACCACATCTGATGATTGTTGTCTTCAACTGGACATGAGTTTCTATTGTTGACCTAATAATTGCATAAAAATTATCCAGTCTAAACTCTAATGAATTTGTATCAAAAACATTATCCCAATCAACATTAAGAAGCGACTCATTTATTCGTTTATAGTCAGCGTTGTTGAAATCTCGATATGTAACATCTGTATAGAAAATATTGAGACTAAATTCAGGCGTTTATTGCGCTACATAAACAAAATCTAAAATGTCAACCAATGCACATAGGACACTTAACGGGACTCCTACTCCACTGTCAAACACAATTTGCACAAAAATTTTCATTCGCAATGACGCACAAATTGGATTTACGAAAAAGTGTCTCAAATGGTTTTGGACAGCTAAGTTCAAAACAAATTCTGCATGTGTCCAAAGATGAACTAATCTTACTTCGAAGCATGTATCGTGTTTCATGGACTTAGTATGAAGATGAGGATTCTAGAGAATGCAAAAAGTACGGTCGTATTCCCAATTTAAATGCTCAAACCCTTCAAAATTGTCATCAAGTACTGAAAACCGGGTTGGTCAAGCAAAAATTCATTTTTGGTGATTTTTATGGTTACAGCACATCCAAATTTGAACCAAAACAATAGATTTAGACACGATCATTAGGAATCAGCAAAATAAGTTACGCAAAAATTGCAAAGGGTGTCAAAAATTGGGTGTTTACTTCACGTACCGCATGTTACTCTGAAAAATTCATCATTTTGGATGGTGAAACATTCATCTGCAAATTGAGCCACGAATCAAATGCAAATGGTTTCTTTTGCATTGATTATGTTAGGGCACTACTATATAAGGCTAGAGAAGTCGACAAACCGAACTTTGATAAAGGGGTGTTTGTATGGTAGGATCTTCTTTGGAAGGTGTCTTAGAAATTCGAAAATTTAGTGCTGAAATGTAAGGTTACTTATATACTTGTTTCTCTTAAAGTATTTCGGCAATTTCATTTATTAAATTCATTTATTTTTCAAATATTCTTGATTTTATTTATACGTAAACATTAAAAATTTCAGGATGTCGGATTCAAACGACAAAATGGGTCGCAAGGGGGGCGAGCATAACGCTCAAACTTCAAAATCGACCAAATCCAAACCGAAGAATAAACCCGATATGGGCCAGGCACTTCCAGCCTCAAGCCAAACGATGGCCACCAACTACCAGGCTCGTCCACAAGGCCCTGGGGGTTCGGGCCGTGCCACGAAGGGCGCAGGGCAGGATGTATCAGGCCCTAAAGGTCACTCTTCTCTTTCTTCTCTATCCTCTTTCTCAAAGTCTTTGGGCAATCAGGGTGGAGGTCATTCTCATCGCCCCACTTCAAAGGCCTCTAGCACCATGGTTCGCCCTGGGGTTTCGGGTCAGAAGGATGCAGGGCGAGGAATGTCCAAAACTGGTAGTACTTTCCAGTCATCATCTTCATCGGTGGCCACCAGCACTTCGGCTAACAAACCTGAGGGCTCGGGCAGTGCCTCGAATGATGGATGGCAGGAAAGGTCTGCTACGCAAATCCGCCGTGATCGTCGCATTCGGCTCAAAATGAAGGAGAGAAGTTCATCTTCTGGTGTCACACCAGATCAATCTCGATCCCTCTCTTCTGGTAGTGGCCGAGTTGGGGATACCGCTCAAGGGTTATCAACTGCCGGGCCCTCCAGAAATGTTTCTCCAAAAGACCCCGCCCTGCTGACGGAACACCTCCTGATGCCTTGATGAACAAGCGATTGGACACGAAGGACACGCCAGAGACTGAGGGAGCGGTGGATAAACCCACCTACGCTCAGACTCTGACAAAATCACTGTTGGATATGGCGGTGGCCCATATGCCCGAGCCAGATTCTACGTCCCAATTATCTCAAGAGGAATACGACAAGATATTTGGGGCACTAAATGATCTGTGTTTCGAAGATATGAGAGCTGGTCTACCACTTCCGACTTTCTCAAAAACAATCCGTCACCAAGGTGTTCTAAGAGCATTCTGTGTCGACATGGAATCTCGAACATGGCTAGAGGGCGTGGTTGACAGATTGAAATCTGTTGTTGGCTTACCCCTAGTGGTATTGCAATTCAACAAACTGCCACGCCCTCCTTT